AATTTTCGATAATAGAAATGACTTATTATATTCATTAAACTCATTTGATACTTGATAAAATATTTTCCATATTTGTTAAAATGACCTGTAAAAACTATAATCATAAATTATCTATAATACTAATAACCCATTCTATCATATTATTAAATATTAATATTAATTAATTTTAAATAATTATTTTGTCCAATAAACATATATTGATTTAATTCTTAATAATCTAAGCATAAAAATGTCATTGTTACATATCTGATGAGAGTTTTGAAAGAATTTTTTTCTTGCACTTTGGGTTAGAGCAATGACTATCTTTGTTATGCAAATTTATATCACTATTGATGTTTATATTAATAAATAATAAATAATTGATTAGTTCATTAATTTTAGTGTTAATATAAATTTAATTGGTTAGTTCCAAAAATAATTGATTAGTTTCTTAATTTTAGACTTTATTTGAACAAGTTTAATCACATAAAACTTGCTTTATAGAGCACTTTATGTAAGGGTTTCCAAGTTCCATAAAAATTTCAGTTTTCCCTTTATTGTTTACAAAATAAATTTACATGAGAGTAAATGCACATGTACATGTTCAAGATCAGTCATAAGTGAAAATAGGTATGTTCATAAATTTTGCATGCTATTGTAATGTTGTCTTTGATGCAGATGGGCATTATTTTGTGGGTAAGCCTGTTACAGAAAACATACAACTTTTAAAAATAAAGATTTAGCATAGTTTCAAAATTGTTATCACTATTGTTGTTCAAGATCAGTCATAAGTAAAAATAGATATGTTCATAAATTTTGCATGCTATTGTAATGTTGTATTTGATGCAGATGGACATTATTTTGTGCCTAAGCCTCTTACAGAAAACATACAACTTTTAAAAATAAATATTTAGCATAGTTTCAAATTGTTATCATTATAGTTGTTTAATAAGGACTAATACTTATATATATGCTCAAACTGACACCTTACATGAATGTCATGTAGTTAATATATTTATTTGATAGATCGTATCATGAATGAAGATGGCATAATAAATCATAGACAATATATGTTGTAATAGGTGAAAAAAAAGAAGAAGAAGAATATGTGGTATATGTATTAAATTAACAATGTAAAAGAAGGTGTGATTTAAGGTATATAACTTAATTGTATGATTAATTAATAAATGCTAATATTAAAAATGTTAGTTAAATCTAATGGTTAAACTTTGATATTGTGTAAGTAGATAGAAAAATGCTTCTGTGTTTAATAGTATATAAAAAATTAGTATAATATTGCATAAATTTGCACTATAAAAGGGGGACAAGGGTAAGTATCAGTTTCATACACGAACACAAGACTTGGAACCCAAAAAAGACAACAGATATGTCTGGATCATCTGAAGCCTCACCTGATCCCTTCTCGCCATCGCAAGTCGTATCCAAAGACATTGTTGTGAACCACAGAAAGTCAACATGGATGCGTCTCTACGTCCCCACTACCGCACTAAACGGCGGCGTTTCGTCTAAAAAACTCCCTCTCGTTGTCATCTTCGACGGTGGAGGTTTCACCACCGGCAGCGTCGACTCTCCAGTCTTCAACTCCTTCTGCAAACTTTTCGCGCTTAAGATCAACGTGGTCCTTGCGTCAGCTTCGCACCGGCTAGCTCCTGCGAACAAACTCCCGGCGGCTTACGAAAACGGTGTGGACGCGGTTGAGTGGATAAGAAACAACTCCGTAGAGAAGGAGGAGGAAGAGGAGGTGCGATGACAGATATGCAGAGAGACGTGGCGAGGTTGATGACGGAGAAGGGAGTTGATGTGGTGGAGCGTTTTACTGACGGCGACGATCTGGTTGCTTCCGTCACAAGTTTCATTTACTCTTCTGCACCGTAAAGGTCTTTTATTTTTCTAAAAATAATTCCATAAAATAAAGCTTCTTCTGTATTAGAGGCCAGTCCCATATCTTATGCTCATTTAAAGATTACCTTTTATGTATTGGTTTGTGGAAAAATTATAAATAAGAATAATATTGTAAGAATCCACAAATAAAGATGCTCTCTTTTGGAACTTGGTATGGACATTTCTACACTCCAATGTTGTGGAAAGCTTGTTGAGTGGTTTAAATAGTGATTTTACTCAGGAGATCTCGTTTCGAGTTATAGGAAAAAGCATACTATACAGAGTAATAAGAGAAAAAAGATTTATAATATAGGTTTGGTTGTGGAGGAGGTGGGGTAGATTTGGTCGTGGTGGCAGAAACCAGAGATGGTTTAAACTCTATATCAATGATCAAAACTCTTATAGTTAGTTACAAAAAAAAATTTCACTACTACCACTGATTTCTTGATGTGGGAAAATCTCTTATTTGTTTTCTTCTTTTCTTCTTATGAATAACTCCAGGGAAAATCTTTCTTTTCCCTATATCAGTTTTGTGTAATGTTAATGACGATAAAATTATTCATAAGTTACACTTTCTCCATAGATGAATGACCTCTCCCAAGCTATAATTGTACTTAGATTATCCATTTCAACTGTGGTAAAATGCTAAACTGATCAGCAGAATGCATGTGAAATTCATGTAATCAGAGGATGTGAACATAATTTATCTAGCAAGTTTGAACTAGTCACAGAAAACAAAACATGACGTACGTTTATGTATTTTTGGAACTTCCCTATTGTTTTTAGTATAGCTCGTAATTAGTCTGTGTACTTGAATTTAGAAATAGAATTCTAAATATCCATATGTCCAAGGCTTTTAATTATACTACATTAACATTTTATTTTCCTTATGTTTTTCCGATATATGATTTTCCAAACTTTAAATTAGTTTTGTGTATTACATTTTTTGCAACTTCTCAACCAACGAAAGAGACGTGACAGCCACTTGTGAATCAAGAAATTCTTTTGTCTTCTAGTTAGTCTCATTGTTTCTCCACCTGAGTTGCATTACAACTTTTCATCAAGTAAACTGTGTTCATATCTTCTGAATCAGAGAAATTATTTCATTGCTACTTAAATCTATGATCTGTTGTTAATTTGCATTTGAGAAAACCACATTTTATTGACTATAATTAACTTGTAAAATAGCTTTTTCTCAACCCAAATTAGGTTTTTAATATTAACTAGGATAAGACCCGCGCCTTGTTATTTTTATTATGTTTTGGAAAATGAAACAATAGTTCGGTTCATTTGGATTAGGGGTGTTCAGTCCGGATATCGGGATTTAGTTCGGTTTGATTTTTTGGTATTTTGTTTATTAAAATTTAACTACTATTCTAAATCCACATTTACTTCGGTTCGATTTGGTTTATATACTATCGGTTGAACACAACTATGTTTATTTAAAGATAAAAAAATCCTAAAGAATTTCAACTAATTGTTGTCATCAAATTTATAATATTTACTTAGATTTAGTTACTGTTAAAATAAAGCAAAAAGATCAAAAAAATTAAGAAAATAAGAAGCCTCAGTTGCAGTAAATTGTTAGTTAATTATAGTTCAAATGATTCAAGTGATTTAGAAATTGTAATTATAGTTAAACTCATGTATCAAATAGATATTTATGCGTCATTATAAATATATACATATTTATATGTTTCAGTTTAATCGGTTATAAATCAAACCATATCCAAATCCTACAGTTTTTATAAAATCACATTCATTCGGTTTGTATGGTATATATAAAAAATATATTATCGATTGTTTAATATTTTTTAATAATATAAAATTAAAAAAAAAAAGAATTAAGATATTTAAATCTTTGATAACAAAATTTTTCAATATGAAAAATTTAATAAGTTTATAATTTATAAATGTTCTTGAAAATTCATTGAAATATTTGAAATTAAAATATTTATGTAATTTTATATGATATATAGGTTAATATATATATATGTATATATTTGTTTTATTGTTGAATGATACTTTTTACTCATATGGTGACTTCATTTCTAGTGACTTCTATGTGCATAAATACATGACCATGTATGTCATCGACTAGTGACTACGCATGCTCCGAGGCCTAGATTGGAATTATAAGCTGTTAGGAATTTATGCACACAGAAACATTTGGACGAAACTAAAAAGTTTTTCCTTCTAGAATGAACTTACTTCACTTTTGACTTTCGAGACATTCCACCTAACGAATGAATATTCAAAATTTACCATCTGTTATGGGTATTGGACACCAAAATAAGAATATCGAGAATGTTTGGATTAAATTAGGACGGTAAGACTTGGAAAAAATCGCATGTAACTGTTGGTTTGATGATATAAATATGAAAGCTAAAAACAAAAATGAAAGCTCGAGATTCTTTTTCTTACATTATTATAAACTTATCCGATGTCAATTTACTATAATATGTTTTCTATACAATATTTTTCACAATAAAACTTATTTTAGCTTAAATGATTGCAATTTCATTGTAATTCTGTTTTCAACTGCACATTTCTGGTGGAGTAGCAATGAAAATAATAATGATATTCATTAGTTTTCATGGGATAAGTAGTGCAGGAAAAAGGAAAAATGAGGGATTTGGCTTAAAATTTTGACAAAAATGGTTACAATTTCATATAATACAAATAAAATAGACAACCCCATTCATTTAATTTACTATATATTAATACAAATATTTTATGACATTTAAGTTGTAAATTATTTACTTGTATATATATCAATTTATTTCTTTATATTCAAATGTTTTAGTTAATTATTGTTCTTATAAAATTATTTATATATAGGATTAATAATTAAATTGTTAAAAAGATGGGATCTATTAGGTGGGATCTAATAGTTTAGATACATGTTTTATTTTCTATTGTTTGAAAACATATTTAATTATGTTTTGATTGGAATATGTTTAGTAGTATGATATTGTTTTTACATAGTTATCCTAAATGAAATTATAGTACTTTTATTAAAATCATTGACATTTTTATTAATAAACACGTGATCTAAACTTTAGCTCTATAATATACTTCTCTTTTGATAGATTAGAAGATATCAATCTTACCATGAATAAATATGCAGATTTGAGATATCTTTGCTAAATTCCTTTTCACATTTGCCACTTTTTATTTTATTTTTATTTTGCATGTGTATGCTCCCAGTGATAACACCACCTCCCAGTGATAACACCACCAAGCTCATAGCATCATTAAGAACGAAGATTACAATCTAAAGGTTGTAAACTAGTCTGAGCAGTGTAAAATCTCTGAAGCCGTCGCCTTCTCCTTCGGTGTCTCCGAGGAACTTGAATCTGCCTAGCTGCTCCTGATCGCAGCCTCTTAGTGGCTCCTTGCTCTCTATCACTTCTTAGGAATCTCAAGAACAGGCTCGTTATATCTTCAAGATCTGCTACACTCAGGGAAAAAGCCTCCACGTCTGTTAGGCACCTAACACTTCTGTTGCTTACTAACCCCTTTGATGAAATTCTTATCCTCGTTCCATCTGCAGGTTTCAAAGCATATTCAGTTCCAAGATGCGCAGTATAATCTTTCAAGTTTTTAACCCAAAGCACATAGAGTCAGTCAACAAGGGATGTACCGGGGTTTTCAGAAGAGTGTTCGAGGCACCAAATGAGGAGTTCTTCACCACAAACGTCTCCCTCTGATAAAGGAAGAACAGAACCGTCTTCTCCAATGCTCTCCATCTCACCTCTCACTATAAATACCATTTTCTCAACTAGACCTCCGCGGTGCAAAACCGTGCTACTAATTATGTATCTCCTATGTGTCAGCCTCTCACGAATGGCATCTAAGATTGTATCATCCATCGTTGAAAATATCCTTACCTACAAACCCAATAACATTTCAAGAATCTGCCTCCTCTAATACACAAAAGTTTCTCAGAGAGAGAGAGAGAGAGAGAGGCAATGCTAAGGAAGCATAAATTCAAAAATATTTATATATATAAAGCATACACTATTAAAATAAGGATGATTATTATATATAGATATTAGTATAAAATTGATTTCTCCATTATAATATATGTGTTTACCTTTTCAGTATCTTTAAGTAAATATGAATTTTGGGAAATAGTTACTAGATATAGTACGCAAAAGATGATTGAAAACAAGATATGGTAAAAGAGGCAATTTATCATAGACTCAAAAACATGTCGAAATCAGGTAAATAGTGACAGTCAGATTATGCAGTTATGGAAGAGGTAAATAAAAATGTCAAAACAAAATGAAAGAGGTAAATACAAATAGTTTACGATTTATGCTAGAAGAAATATTTTTTTTGTCAAAAAGAAATAACTTTTTTTCTCAAAAGAAAAATAAATAACTTTTTAAAAATAAAAACAGAAAACACGACAGAAAAATAAACAGACGGGGAAGTGGAGGTAATAACCAAAAAAAAAGTTAGCAATAATTTTCTACTATGGTTATATGTTTAAAATATTTTTAAAAATTCAATGGGGGCAGTGCCCCTCCCTACATCACGTAACTCCCTCGTGGACTCATATTTTTTTACCTTCTTGAGAAATATGAAGAGGTGTCGTCTTATATCTCTTTGAAAGTCATTAGGCATATTCTCAAATAGAATCTTTCTGTTAAATCCTGTGGTGGCAGCCCAGTTCACCCACTCAACCACTCGCACCCTCCTGCTAAAACAAACTATTCGGTTAGCTTCATGTATAGCTGGTGACATTACAGAGCCGTTTAAGAGGCACGTCCACATACCCTCTTATACCTTCTAGAAACCGTTTATGACTCATTTCCAAATTCCTAAGATGGGCAAAACACAATCAACATTCAACATAATATTTTGTGATTTAGCAAGCACCCACCATGTCTTTACAATGATTGCGAGTTATTTACCTTTGTCCAAGAGCTTGAAGGAAATTTTGCATATTACCAATAAGAAGTGGGAAAAGCAAAAGGCCCAGTGCGATAATCACCATAGTAAAAAAGGCCTCCCCAAGAAAGTAACTTGGGACTTGGTTTCCAGCAAGCGTGCTGATTTGCTTTTGAGAGTCGTAAACAGTTTATCATTCATTAAGGGTTCAGCATGTGCTGTAAACTAGTTGAACAATTAATTGTGTGACAAATCCAATTACCTGGAAACCCCATATATAAAAGAGAGTAAATGTATCTTGTGAAGAGGCTAGAATGATTGGTGAGATTGACTGTCTTTAAATAGATTCCATAAGGAAAACCATCCTCTTGAAAACAAGCACTTGCGTTCTCATTATCTTTCCACGCAGCTAATGCTACGTGACTATTTTCATGACCACAATATATTAGTTCTCTGCATTCTTGATGAGAATTACCGCAAGCATCTCGAAGGCAATGATTAACCCTCTGAAAGAAGCATAACAAAAAAGGAAGCAGACAATGAGAGTAATAGATAAATCACTACAAATATAGACAACTTCTTTTGTTTTTAGGATAACCTAAGTGAATTAAGAAACATAAAGAATATTCCCTCCGTTCCTAAAAGATCTATATTCTAGTTTTTTCACACTTTTTAATAAAACACAATAAATTTGCATAGTTTTTTGTATTTATCTTCTTTCTATAATTTTAAACCAATCAAAAATCAATTAGTGCAATTAAGTTTTTTGAAGTTTACAATTATTTAATAAAATATACATTGAAAATGTAAAAAATTGATCTTTTAGAAACAAATTTTTTTTTCTAAAATATGTATATTTAAGAAACGGAGGGAGTATTATATTAAAGTGAAAGATATGAGTTTTGAGACTTTTGCTATACCTGTAGACCAAAAAGATACCAGCAAGAGCCAACAACATGACCAACAAGCATGAAGGTGAGAAGATTAACAACAAAACTACAAGCCGAATCAAATAGAAAGACTGCCGGTGTTTTTCCAGCAAGAAGTGGTAATAGTCTACACAATTTTGGAATGTACTGGAAAAGAACTGCAGCGGTTAGAAAGTTTTTTGCATAGTTGCCCCCAGATGCGCCTAAGTGTGCTGGTAATATCCAAAATATCCATATCTGTAACCAATAGAGGAAATACAAAACGAGGAATCAGCGGCCAGATGAACATATTCATGTAAAATGGGTGTAGTTTTAAAAGTGACAATACCTGTGGAAGTGGCAGCACTATGAATAAGTCCAGTAAACACTTGCCTTGCAAGTAAGGACGAGCAATTTTTCTAGGAAGATCAAACAACTGGCGAGCACCAACAACAACAACAGTAGACTCAGGAGCTGCATATGCCAAACGGAACTGCAACAAATATGAAAGAATATACTCTTACTCTTATAAAAAATGGAAGCAGAACGTTTCCGGGACATGAAACATTAGTTTTGTCTCTAATTTTTTAAAAATTCATATATATATATTTGATAAATTGTGTATGGCCCAAAATGGAAAAAGGTCAATTCCGACCTGAACAATTCATGTTGTATCTTTTTTTACTTTAAACTTTGATATTGTGTCAGTTTCATCATAATCTAACACTTATTTCAAATAAACTATCAAATTTAAACTGATATTAACTTTGAACGAAATAATGTTGGTCAGCCAGTTATAAAATAAATATAGAAAACTAATATATTTAAATAGCTCGAAAGAAATAAAATATTACTACGAAAATATACACAAAATCAAAATAAAATAACTAACATATAGCCAAAAGCCCAAAAAACAAAAACCTAAAATATAGCAAAAAGATGCAGAAACTACAAATATCCAAAAATTCAAAAACATATTACAAACCCTGAGAAATCTATTAATACCAAAAAATAAATATATTAAATTAACCATATAAGTTAAATATTTTTAATATCGAAATATGTCTAAAATCTCAAATATACCAGAAAACCCAAGAAGAAAAAACTTAAATATATTAGACTTTTGAGTATCGTCTATGTTCTGGTTCCTAACCAAAAACTAACCGAAAACCCAAAATTATATACCCAAATATTAATAAAAATTATATATAAATTAGATATTTTTGTATTTCATATATATTTGTTTGGAGTTTCAGAATTTTGGATATTACTTTTTGGATGTTGCGTATTTATACTTTGTCACGGCTTTTTGGGTATATTTTGATTTTGTGTATATTTTTTGATGCGAATCTTTTTAATGTTTTCGAGTTAGTCAAAGTTTTTCTTTTTTTGCTAACAGTTAAAGTTGATTTTAGCTTGAATTTAATAGTTCGTGTAGTTTATTTGAAATAGATGTTAGTTTATGATGAAATTGGCATGATATCAAAGTTCAAGTAGAAAAAAACACTATGGGAATTGACCCTTTTCCCGGCCCAAAACCATAGAAAATTTACAATAGACAAGAACTGGAAGCAAAAGGAAACAAACCTGAAGCAGAATGTTTAGAAAGAATAAAACATCCGTTACACTTCTAACAGCTATAAATGCTTTCGCCACCGGCCAGTCGATCATAATGCATTTATCGTTCTGCCCTACCAAAGATAGTTGTAAAGAAAAGTATCCAAACCCAAGAATACAAAACATGAGTAGCAAAAGATAGAGATCTAAACAAACAAAAATACCTTTTTGACTTTTATGAGGAACAAGAAGAGGGGATCTATAAAAATAACCAACCATAAGGCAAATAATCTAGTCCACCTCTGAACGAATTTGTAGTGAGGATTAATGATTCCGGTTAAGTTTTTATTAACCGACCGCGTAGCCCAGCCTTTAGCATCATCACACATAGCATTACGGGACTAGCAACAAAAACAAAAAAAAAAATTTGTAAATGAATAAATCATCAATTTATAGAATTTTTACTGTACCCTAGAAGGTGGGATTTGGGCAGGTTTAGGGTTGTAGTAAGATGGGCAAGTTGTAGAGTTTTTGTGTTCGAGGGCAGCAAAAGAAGGAGAGCTCTCTGGCTGAGAGGAGAAAGAGACACCAATGGAATGAGAAGAACCACCAGTAGGAGTAGGATGAAGAAAGAGAGGCTCAGGAATGCGAGTAGAGGGAAGAGAGGCACTCATTTGCAGTGATGTAGCCATGTAGCCTAGAACCACATTGGAGCTGTCGAATCTATCAATGGTGGAAGAAGTGTTTGCGAGGGAAGAGCTACGAAACCTGGAAGTGAAAGACCTATTACGAGATGATGATGATGATGATGAGATTGGAAGCATGGGAACATCATCTTTCTCGATGGGGGAAGACATTTCGAGACAAATTCTTCACCTAGAGAAAAGAAAGAAAAAGCTATGAGAGTTACCGGGAAGATGAAGCAGATATTTTAAAGAGTTTTGGAGAAATTGAGCCGATGACTGGGTCATGGTCGTCGAATCAAATCACGTCATGCATGTGTATTTATTTTATTATTAATGGATCTACAAGTTGAAAGTGTGAATAAAAGAAGATAAGCTTGTGGAAGTGGAAGCGACTCTAAATAAAAGAGATGTCCTCAACAAGATCAAGATCAAGCTTTCAACTACCGGATNGAGTTTTGGAGAAATTGAGCCGATGACTGGGTCATGGTCGTCGAATCAAATCACGTCATGCATGTGTATTTATTTTATTATTAATGGATCTACAAGTTGAAAGTGTGAATAAAAGAAGATAAGCTTGTGGAAGTGGAAGCGACTCTAAATAAAAGAGATGTCCTCAACAAGATCAAGATCAAGCTTTCAACTACCGGATTGACTTAGTGTTATGAATGCAAGTTTAGCTAAGCTTTAACCTCATCTTAGGAGATGGTTAAACCTTTAATGTCAATGTATGTCGTTTTTTATCTTATTTTGGGACATGCTAAGACCCTTGCCTTGATTAGCTATCATAGATGCTTAAGGCTTAATCTTTCAAACTCTGAATGCATCTCTTGTATCATTAGCTTTGTTTAATGAAGATTCAAATCCTTATAAAAAAAAAAAAAAGTCCCCGTCGTAATATTAGGCCTACGCAATATGGAGCAAATAGAACCATTAAACTTGATTTTTCATAAAATAGTTTAGAACGATTCAATTGAAAATTAAACATATATATTTCTAAAACATTGGAATTTTCAGTGCATTATTAATTTATTTGCCGATACACCCCAAATGGGGGTCTATATTAGCCACTTGTCCATGATGGGACTGATTCATTTCATATGACGAAATTGATTATCCTTCTCTCTCCTTCCTGCATGTGGGTGTGTCAGGTTTTTTTTTTCATTTTCGTTATCAATGTTCTTCTCTCCTCTTATCATTTTTAAATGAATTACATGCAAAATAAATATTTTAAATATTTTTTATTTTGAGTTCACTTTAATTCTTAAATAATAATTTTTAATTTACTCAATATAATTGGAAAATACAAAATTCAGTGATACTTATTTGTTAACAGCTAATACATAGTACCTCAATTAAGATATATAATTTTTATAAATATCTAACATTTCTGTTAACACCTCTGATATGTATACTTGTTAACAACTAATACCTCTGTTAACATCAGGAACATGTATTTGTTAACAGTTAAAACCTTTGTTAACATCTAAATTATTTGTTAACCGTTAACAAATTTGTTAACAATCGACACTGGTGATTATTAACAGAGATATTAACTGTTAATAAATTTTATGAATGTTAACAGATGTGTTAACTGTTAACAAATACATGTAATATCGAATTTATAACAAATTGTAGATTTTAAAAATGTTGAGATCTTGCAATCTATTGTAATTTATGTTTTCAATCATATCAAATGTTAAATTATTTTATCTATTAAAATATTTTGATATTATATTTTCAAAAATATTATTATTCGATAATATTGTTAGCCTTTAAAAAAAACTAGTAAATATGTGGACAAAAGTGATGTAGGTATAAGTAATATGACTGTCATTTCTCTCTAATCAGCAGAAAAGTGTATCAATTGTCGAAACCAAATAAAAATATATGTTTTCATCCCAAATGTCACTCAATGGGCAAGTCACTAATGGGTATTGTTCTAATTCACTCCTAAAAACAGAATCACTAATCAAGATATTTGCGAAGACTTGACTTTTCTTTTATTTCTTTGTTCTTTTTAATTTCGTTCCTGTGGAACTAAACAGATGAACGTTGCTATTTAAATAAATATTGTAAGATAATTTGAAGAAATTATGTTATTTGTGGTTCCTTTCAAACGAAGAAATTCTTATCATACGACTATTTTCACATATATAAAACTGAGGATAAAAAAAATAAAAGAAAAGAATTAGCACATGAAACTGAGAGAAAATCTTATATGAAGTTTTTATCATAGTGTAAGTAGAATTATTATGCATTACTTTTCATAAGGTGATTCAAAATAATAAAAAAAAATAATCAATTAAACGTATATATTCATGAAGTAATAAATAAAATGTTAGTTATCTAGTTGTGTAATATAACAATTATCATACTTGACATAAAATAATAAATAAACACAAGATAAGCTACGTCACGAAATCAAAATATCTGCAAAGATTGACTTTTTTTTTCTTTCTTTGTCCTTTTTATTACTGTTCTGATTTTCTAGGTTCCTTTAGTGGGAATAAATATTTATGCTGTTTGTGTTTTTTTTTTTAATAAATAGACTAAAAATGTTTTATTACATATGTGCATAGGGATGAAAATTAGAAAATAACATTCATCGAACTATGATAAAAATATTAAGTTAGAATTAGTGTATATTTTCATATAAGTTGATGAAATACGAATCATCACAAAATAATTGATAAAATTTGATTATACAATCTGTAATTGAATATATAGAAAGTCCTTTCATGATGTAAGAAACAAGATTAAAATGTTGTACCTAATGCAATGATAGAAACCACTGACCTTACATATTCAATAAATAATAATATGTGAAATCTGAAATTAAAACTTATATAGTAACTACATCTATATTAAAATATATACGATATAAAATGATAGGAAGTGAAACCATTAAAATATAAGTTAAATAAAATATATTAAATATCTACAAACCTTATATAGGATTATAGATATTTTGATAACATATGATTATATTAAAATTAAACATCTGAACGTTTAAACTGATTACAACCACATGGATATTCGACAGTAAACTGATAAGTTAACATAATTAAACCAGTTAACATAAGTGAACAAAAGATAAAAGTGGCTAAGAAGATAAGAAACTCGTAGAATTTTTACTTGTAATTCTAAAATTTGCGTTTGAAATAACACCAAAAAATCAAAATCAACGTTAAAAAAAATCCAGTCAATATATTTTGAGATCTGTTAATAACCGTGTTTGAAGATGTCCGAATCTCCCGGTGTTGCATTCAGATTTCTATATGTTATAAATAATATAATCATATTTAATTACCATTAAAAAAAGTTAGTCTAGCATATATGAAAATAAAAATGTGTTTCATTAAACAAAAAGCTAACTACAACAAAAATAACCATAACAAAATAGAAAATATCACAAAAAATTGTATACAAATTAAAAAAAGCCAAAATATTAAAAAAAATATAATATTGCAAAAACCCCAACTAGAATAATTTAGGAAAAGTACGATAAACCATGTATGATAATAACCCATACATTTTTTGCAACTTTAAATAAACACATTTTCGAAGACTGGCTTATTTCTTTTTCCTTTATTAAACGGCATCCTGATTTTAAAGAAATTAACTAGATTTTGACCCGCGCTTTCAAAGCGCGGGTAATATACTGTTTAATTCTGAGTATCCGGATCCTCGAGTCGGGTCTGGATCGGGTTTTTTCGGGTCCATGTCTTTCGGGTCTTAGAAATTTGAACCCATATAAGTATCTATAATTTTTCGGGTCGATTTCGGATCGGGTCTTGTCAGATTTGTTGGTTCGGGTATATTATCGGGTCGGTTCGGGTATTTAGGACCCGAAAAGAATCCGAAGGACCCAAACTGGATCCCAAAACCCGAAAACTCTAAAAAAGCTCGAAGAATCGCAAAAAATTCTGAAATATTATCCAAAATCAGACCCAAAATATCAAAAATATACCCGGAATTTTACCCCAATACCCAAATTATATTTTTTTGAAATCTAAAAGTTTACCTAAAACCTAATATTATATTCGAAAATCCAAATCTGAAAATTTAAAAAATACCTGAATTATCAAAAATATACTCAATCACCTAAATATACCTAATATATACAATAATTTGTGGATACTTAGAATACCCGATCGGGTTTCTAATAGGACCTGGACGAACCGAGACCTGCGGATCCAAACAAAAAATACCCAACAGATACTTTAGCAATGACCCGAACCCGGACCTGGATCTGTATTTTCGTGTCGGTTCTTGTTCGGGTCTGTGTCAAATACTCAGACCTACTTCTGTTGATAAATTTGTAAACTTACAAATCTATAATTTTTTGTATAGATTTGAAGTCCATTTCGTTGTAAATAAATGTTAAAATTATTGGGCTTTTAATTGGCAATTTTCAGTTGGGCTATTAATGGATGGTTTTCATTAAAAATAAAAGGAAGTGGAATGTTTTGTAATTTCCTTAAAAAACCAGGGGCAGATTCATAAGCAGTCATCTGCTTTAATAGTATAGATTAAAATACCACTAGTTAGATATTACTTTTGAAAATACTTTCAGTCAAAAATATATTAAGATGTGAGTTTAAAGTTTAGTAATTATTTTTTAGGAGTTAATATTTAGGGGATAAGAGCGAATTTATAAACTTATATAAATAATTTAGGAGAATTAGTTTAGTCTTTTTCATCAAAAGCTTAGG